CGTCACGAGCTCGCACAGAGTGATCCCGATGCTCCACACATCGAGCTTGTCGTTCGCGATGATCTTGGACTCCGACTCATCGGTCAAGAACCTGGCCCACTCGGGTGCGCAGTAGCATGGGGAGAAGGAGATGGAGGAGTCGTTGATGGAGACTTCGCTGCCGATGGGCACACAGCCGTCCACGTCGATCAGCTTCAGGCGACCGTTGAACATCATCAGGTTCTCAGGCTTGAGGTCGAGGTGAACAAGGCCCTTCGCATGCAACCCGGCCACGACGAGGAGGATGGCGCGTGCGCAAGCTTTGATGGACTCACGTGACAGGGGCTTGTTCTTCTCCCTCTTCAGCGCGAAGTAGTCCTTCAGGCTGTACTGCGCAACCTCCGTGATGACGTACATCACCTGAAGTGCTGAGGTTAAGCTTCAGTCTCCTATGCAGACTGGGGGGACCTGGGTTTCTGAATTCCCGTGCATGTTGCAAGGCCTGCACATCCTACAGATGATGTCGGTTGATATGGGGGCTCCTTGTTTCTGAGCACTCTGTGCAGTTGCATGGTTCAATAAGAGATCGCAAACCCAAACCCCAAGCCCGAATCCCTGGTTTAACTAGGGGAGCCTTGCAGCAAGGTCAAAAAGCCTGAAACTCTAACTTCAAACCCTCAACCCGAAACTCAGAACCTACTAGCAAAATTGTTGAACCCTTGCGAAATCCTGACTATACAACTAGAACCCCTAATTCTACTACATCACTCTTGAAGGCCCTGGCCCGTTACACCCTAAGACAGCTAGAATCGCGCTAGACCCCCTGGGTGAACCTTTCAATAGATCAACGTGCAACACCCAAGTCACGCCGTCCGTGGGATCAGGGGCCGGCTCGCCCTTCCTAGGGCCACAAAAGCAGCTCAAAACGAGAAGAAGCATCTTTAGTTCAGACCAACCCTTTTCTGCGCAGCCTGGCTTTCGGGCTTTGGGTCGGCTGCGAGGTTTTTTTTGGGGGGGCGGACTTTAGGCATTTAGGCCTTGAGTTAAGTTGAGATTGCTTGGGGTTTGGAGTTTGGGGTTTGGGCCGCGGCGATAGGGCTCTGGGGTTTCGTTTTTTGGACGGTTGCAGAGCTAGGCTTGCACGTTCGCTACCCAAAGCTTGGAGATACCACAAAGGAAGCACTGAAGCAAACTGTTCCAACCCTTCAAGCCCCTCGGCCCTGAAACCCTAAGACCTGTTCCTGTTGAGACAACTGCCACCAAACCCAACGACCCCAGAACCCCCAAAGCCCTGAGCCCTAAACCGCCCCTCAACCCTGAGACCCTAAACCCACATAGATTCCTTATAGAGCCCTATGTCCACCTACATCACCCCTACTCCTACTGCAATGGGATTTGAGATTCTCATTCTTGGAATAGTCCACCAACATCATGAAGAGCTTGGAGGGCGTGGCTTTGGCGAGATCCGGGTGCCACAGCGACTGGTCCGCCGGGGGCACGAATGCCTCCTGGAGCATCTTCAAGACCTGGGTTTAGGGTCGAGCCAAAAACCCTACACCTTAGAAGCGGCCCCCACAGTGTAATAGTGACTATAAGGACTATATTAGGGCCCTATTATATTCCTATTATACCACTATTACAGGGTGGGGGCAGCTTCTAACCTACACCCTAAACGTTGAACCCTTAAGCCTTTTCTGAGCAGCGGCTTTGGGTGTGCGCCGGCACGCTGGAACCCTCAACCCTAAACCAACTTCAAAAACCCAGAGCCCTAAACCCTAAACCAAAAGCCTCAGAGGCCTAAACCAAAAACCCGAAGATCAAGACCCCTAAACTTTAAACCCTAAACCCAAAAACAAAAAAAAACTAAACCCTAAACCCAAAACGCTCTAAACCAAAAGCCCCCTAAACCGCCCTTTCACTTTGGGAGCTTCCGAAAATAGGGGACCCTAATATGATACCCTAAATAGTAAGGTCCTTATTATAAGGACCCCAAAATAAGGTACCCCGTATCCCCTATTTTCGGAAACTCTAAACCCTAAACCCTTTATAGAATCCTTATAGATCCCTTTAAGGAACCCTTTAAAGCACCCTAGGGTAACCCCTATTTTCGGAAAACCCCATTTTCCAGGGACCTGGATCTGACGCCGGAACTTCTGGAGCCTCACCTCCTCGGAGCTGTTCACCTGCAGGGTTTCAAGGGTTTAGGAATTTGGGGTTTTGGGGGGGGGGGGGTTTAGGGAGTTTAGGGGTTTACGCTCTCGCAACTCGGATGCATCCAGACCAAGAGAGTTTAGGGGTTTAGGGGTTGAGAAGTTTAGAGGTTTGGGCTTAAGGGTTTTTGGGTTTAGGGGATTAGGGTTTAAGGGTTCGGGGTCTTAGGGATACTTTAAGGCTTCTACAAGGTATCCTTAAGGGTTGAAGGCTTTCGGCGCTCACACTCGGACAACCCAGGCGAGGCGTATGGTTCCAGGTCTTCTGAGTGAAGCGCTGGGTGTGGAAGCAGCTACAACATGGAGCCCCTTTACCAGATGGTTTAAGATCTATTCATTTCGGGTTTTTAGGGTTGCTATAAGGCTTGGAAAGGAGATCTACAAGTAAGGGTTGAGGGCTTTGGACTCTCAACAATCTTCGCCTGCATCGTCCGAGTCAAGGGCTTAAGGGAGGGTTCAAGGCTTTCCGGTTTAGGATTTGGGGCTTTTCGGGTTAAGGATTTAGGGCCCAGGGTCTTAGGGTGGTGGTATGGGCGCAGGGTCTTAGGGTGGTGGTATGGGCGCTAAGTCCGCTAGGTTCAAAGGGTGCTGAGGGTTTGCAGAGGAAGGGACGACCGCCCTCACATGGATCGAAAAGCTGCGCACATCTGCGCAGCCAGGCATTCAACCTCCTTTGTGCATCCGGACCTCGCTCGTAGGAGTGAATCGCCTAAACTCCTCAAGCCGACGAAAGCCCCACCTGCTTCGTGGCAAGCTTGTAGACCTTGATCGCCACTTCAGCGCCGGTCTCCAAGTCGACACCTGAGTTGCCCACAGGGCCCTGTCGTTAGGATCTCTGTCACACTCCTTACTTCCCTTGAAGTTGCTATAAATCAGAGTCTATGCAAGCAGTGGGGAATAATGTTTGTCAAGAGAAGTACAGATCGTGGAAGTAACGAACCTCTGGGATTACACCCCGAAACGGCTGAGCCTGAGGGCTCATGCGGGTTCTCCAAGACAAGTATGTACTTGTAGCACTATCCGCGAAGCAACCTGAAACTCCAAAAACATATCGGCTTCCAAGACACCCTTCCGGCAAATGCTGGAAGATCCCTCGCCCAACAAATCCTGCTTGGTCCTCGGTTGCCCGACGTCTTTTTTCATGACAATGGGCTTACGGTTCAGGGTACCCTCTTGTCCTAATATTCAATTAATTCTGTTCTCATCGGGAACCCCAAAAGCAGGGTAATCCACCATACACGTTCACATCTAGCTTTAAATAAGAAACCCCAAACCCTAACCCTAAACCCTAAACCCCAATGCCTAAATAGGAAGCCCCAAATTTAAAGCAGAAAAGGGCACTGCTGGGCGACCCAGGCTCATGCTCATCTTGTACTTTCCCATCACGACGGGCTGGCTGGGATCGGCATCGCGGCCGCCGTACCTTGCTTGACATAATTTTTGGGTCCTTAACAATTAGAGCAGGGCTTCGGGGCCCATTATACTATACTTACAATAAGGAACCCCCCAAAATAGCATAGGTAACCATGTTTTGACCCTCACAGTCACCGATTAAGGTCCCTATACTAAGTAGCTCTTGTCCCTTGAAGGAATAGTTCGTAGAACTGTCGACCCTGGCTTAAGACTCCTGCAACAACCCCGTTATAGTAACCCCAAAGAGGCCAAAAAATTGCGTAATATACTACCTGACCCTTTTTCCTAAACCCTAAACCCCTCAATGCCCAGAATGCTTGGGAGGGCCCTCGGGCATGGCGGAGCGGGGGGTCTTCTCCACTTGCCCAGAGGACGGCACGCAACCCATGCCAGCTTGCACAAGGAGTTTGGAAGGAGTCGGCATGCAAGCGTCTTCGAGCCGACGAGAGCTGCCAAATTTGGAGGATCTGATAAAAAAATACTGGCATAGAATATGACGCGACATACAAGAAGATTATATGATATGTTCTATTTTGGTACTAGCAAGGAATCCGAAGGATTATGGGAGTTCTGAGGATGAGAGTCTCAGAAGCTTATCGAATCCCTAAGCGCTCTGAGCTCTCAAACCCAAGTACCGCCGAACCCTGCCTTTGCCCGAGACATTGTGAAAATATTTCAGGCATGGGGAGCATGCAAGGGTTCAGGGCTTACGGCACAGCGTTTTTCTTTGGGGGGGGTCTGGGTTTGGGGCTTCGGTGCGTTTTGGCCCCAAGTCCCAAGTCCCCTAAAGCTTTCGGGCAAAAACCCGAAACTTGTCCCCTAGAGCCCTAAACCCCCGTAAACCCCCAAAGCTTAAAGCCTCGAGGCTGCCAACCCCCTGAACGAATCCAAAACGAAACGGCCGAGAAGCCTGACCCTAAGCTTGTTCTGGCTCGGACAATAGGATGCAAAATCGAAGCTTTACGGCTTGCTTTAAACCTCGCCTGATGCCCCGCAAAACGGCACAAAAAAAACTATAAAGTGATGATGTGCCCGAATGACGCGAGCAAACGCACACCCCAACACCTGCAACCACACGATTTTAGTTTTGGGCTTCCAGACAATCACACACTACAAACCCAGTTCTTCGTGTTTTCGAAACCCCATAACCCTTCAAAACCCCGCCAAGACCCCACAAAACCCTTCTGAGACAAGCAGGCATATGAAACCCTAAAACACCCTAAAACACCCTTTCTTTTCAGACCCTACATAAACCCCCAGAAGGCCGGCGAAAGGCATAAGTACCATAACCCCAAGTAGGGTTCTCTTTTAGGGTACTTATAAGTCTACTAACTACCTACTTACCAAGTCCCCCGACCCTCCAAGCATGAACCTCCAAGTACACACCGAAATCTTGGCCTGTTGCAAGCGCCCTGTCTCGGCGGCCTGCGCCACGCAATCCGTTTAGGGTTTAGGGGTGTAGGGTTTAGGGTTTAAGGTGCTACACTACACCAGGCTAGACGAGACACTGCACTATGCCATGCTGCACGAGGCTCAGCACGAATACTCACGAGGTCTTGGGCTTCGGGTTCCCCCGTCTCTCAGATAGGTATATATATATATACACACACATATAGAGAGAATATATACACATATAGAGAGAGACAGAGGGTCAGGGTTTCGTCGTTGTAAGCATATACCGGCCTGGATAGTTATCAGTACCATTCCGTAGGGTTCCTGATTTTTCCCCAAACCACCGTTGAAATGGTGCCCCTTTATTAACTCTAACCCCCTTTGCCACCCCTACTACAAGCGGAGCTCTGCGTCCAACGGGAAGTATCTTCATGTGTCGGAGTGGCCTCTTGGGGTGTTTTTGCCTCCCACCTAGCTCGGACAAGCCCGCATTGCAGGGTTTAGGGCCTATTAAGGGTTAAGGCTAAGGGCTTCTTTGTTCAACTCGTTGGGCCAATCCGCTTTACAGTCCTACAGCAACCCTACCTTTGTAATGAACTGCTAGCCCCCAACATATGCACACACTTTCGTGGCAAACGCTGCCACAAGGTGGAAAATACCTAATGAAGAACTCTCAGAACCTGCAAAATCCCAGAGCCTCCGGACCTTTCGCAAGCCGTCAAACCGAAGCAATGGGAGATGCGTGGACCTAACAAATCCCGAGCAACACGATACCACAAACACAGGCAAAGACAGAAGTCCTTGGGGACGAGCCATTCAGAAGTTCAACATCCAACTCCAAACAACCGCAAGAATGTATGCATCAGGAACTCCCTCATCTTTATCTGCCTTTTCGGGCTCCCACAAGGAAGGGTGCTCTATCATTAGGTAAGCAACCAAAACAGTTAGCCGTTAGCCTCGGCCAGGAGCTCGGCAGCCGCAGCCCGAACATTCGCAAGATGGCCCGCCTTTTTGGGGGTGCAGGGGCTTAGGGCTTAGGTTTGGGGTTGGGGTGTAGGGCTCAAGCACTCAGGGTTTAGGTCTTAGGGCTTTGGCTTTGGGGCTCAGGGAAGGGGATTTGGGGCTTTGGCGTGTCTCACGTTGAAGCTTTAAGCTTTTCGGCTGTTTTAGGAATGCGGCTTCTGCTTGGTCGCGGGCATAGTGCTTGTATTTATACTTTCACCGATCTCAAGGCTTAGGGCTTCATGTGGTCTTGCCCAGTTCTTGTGATTGTGGCTACCCGCGACGGCCGCTGAAGGGTCCACCATCGCAAACAGATTCTGCGTGGGTCCAAGAAGACCTGTTTGAAGAACAGCCCGGGATCTCTAGCACCCGGGACCGGAAGTTCCGTGCCGATGGCAGCTTAATGCGTGACAAACATACAGTTGGTGCATGTAAATAAAGAATGCAAAGGGGATGCTACTGCTAAGTACTGCAGACCTCTATATTGCACTTCCGATGGGTATCCTTGAATAAAGCCGGAAGAGCGTGAAAGGATCTTTGACCTTGAAGGCCTGGGCCGCCTTACGTAGACCTTGTGATACCCCGGCTGCAACGATCGAATCAAGTGCCCGCCAGAAAAGCCTAAGTTCAAACAGGCTCGACATGCATACCTGAAGTCCCTTTGCGGGCCCCCAAGCTCTTGCAGAGCGCTTGGTCTCGACATCTTCGGTGCTTAGACGAGGGCTTGAATTTTAGGCTCCAAAGCTCTAACCCCAGACTCTCAACCCCCAACCGAATGCCTAAAGCTCTAGACCTGGGCCCTGTATCCCAAAACACACCTAGGCATAAGGGCAACTTGAAGCCCAAGCCGAAGCACTCTCTAAATAATGGGCTGCAGGGCTGGGGCTTAGAGCTTGTGTTTGACCGGGCTTCTAGTTCTCGGCCACGGGTTAGGGTTGACAGGTCGAGGGCTTAGCGGCTTAGCGTTTAGCACTCTGTGGTCTTTTCCAGCCTTCTCCATCTGGAGATCCGAAACGATGCGCTCCAGGGCGCCATTCTCGGCGGCCTCTGTTGGCTTGCCGATTCAGGGATGCGCATGGGGTTTGGTGTATACTATCCTATAGCTATCTCTCGACTATTCTAGGAGATATACCACGAACTTTCAAGCCTGTCCGTTTGGCTCCCCACGGTATCATAAGTTTTTCACGTGGTGCCATATTTGAACCCAGGTTCGGATCCTGCATCCCATGGCATAGACGGGGCAACCCCACCAAAACTCGGGGTTTAGGGTTTCGGGGAAAAGCTCGGAAATCATAGAACCTTGCACAGCGTCCGCAGAACTCTGGCAAGTACCTAAATATAGGGGTCTTAATAATTAGAATAAGGTTTTCGTGCCCATTTATAATAAGGAACCCCCAAAAAATGGTATTGGTTCTAATTTAAGCCGTTATAGTAACCCACAGTGAAAGCCGCAGTCTTCCGGCCTCCAACAACGAGGCCTTGGCAGCGGCGCGGATTTCCGAGAGTTCATCCTCGCGGCGAGGGGTTTTGACTTTGGGCTTTCCATGGTTTTGTGGTTTCGGCTAATGGTTTAGGGTTTGGGGCGTAGAAGGGCTTTCCAAAAATTGCTTTCAAGGGCTTCAAGGTTTCATGGTTGAGGATTTTAAGCTTCATAAGCTAGGGCCGTGTTTGCAGCGGGCAGCCAGGAGTTTTTGTGGTTTTTTGCTCTTTGAGGGGCGTGCCTTTTGCGGTTGGAGCTTTGAAGTTTGATTTGAGGCGAAAGTTTGAGGGACAGTGCCTGTTGGGGTGTGGTTTTCAGGGTAGACCGGGAAGGGTTATTGACAGAGATATTTCGTTTTTTCCATATGGAGGTTCGTCCAAGAGTGACGGCGAAAGGAACCGAAACTTAAAAACACCCTTCACTCGGAACAGGCGCCATGCAGGTTGCGTTTCTTTGGAGAGGGTTCAAAGGTTTGGACAATGTGCATTGTAGGGGCAATGCTCCAAAGCTTACGGGGAAGGCTGAAAACACAATCAGGGCCGGTGAAACCAAAATCCTATCCCGAACCTAAACCCTCTCAAGTCTCTAACCCCCACAATCCCATCAAACCCTAAGGCAACCCATGAAACATGGTCCAGCCGCCGCCTCCATTCAAGGAGCCCAGTAAGGAACCCCAAACCCCGAAAGACCCTCAAGCACATTCCCGCCTCAGGCGACGATGTGGGATTCGGCCCCAGCTTCGCCAACGCCTCTGAACATGGAAGTTACGTAAGGATTCATAAAGAAATGTTATTAGGGCTTGAAAAGGCTCTTGGCGCGGCCTTACAGCTTTGAAAAGGTGCCGAAACGGTGTTATCAGGAGAGCTTTTTTTGGGGCTTCGAGATCTGGGCTTCTGGAGACACTCGGGCTCTCGCTCAATATACGGAAAACTCCCATCTCAAAGCCGGCATAGGAGCCTTAAAAAGAACCCATACAACCCTTTTTGCAACAGGCTTTCCACTTCGCCGGAAACCCTAAGCCCGAAATAACCCATAGGTGACTATCCCCGAACGACTGTAGAACCTTCATGGTGTGGAATTCTTAAAGAACCCTTAATAGAACAAATGCAACCACTTTTCAATCCATTACAGGACCCGTATAGGGAATGCAGAAAGAACTAGAAACGCTTGCACAAGCCTTCCAGGATCCGGGCAACCTGCTTCCCTTGTAGGACCCATGTCTGATCGAACACCCTATGGAACCTCATAAAACCCTACAAGCCGTGGAAAAGTGTTCAAGCCCTTCACAGAACCTTGATAGAACCCCTTATGGCACCATAACACCCTTGTCATTCCGTGCGCAACCCATCGAACTCTTGTAAAATATGTACATCCCATGACATAATGACATAGAACTTTCGTAGAAGCTCTATGAAAGGGTTCCACCACGAAACCCACATTGGGTCTCCGATAGAACCCCCAAACTAAAATAAATTGTTCAAGAACCTCTTCAAGTCTTGGGCTTAAGGTTTAAAGCTCAAGGCTTCGGGTTTAGGGTTTGAAGGTCATAGGGTTCAGGGCGTCGGGTGTAGACTTGGAACGCAAGCAAACAATAATCCAAAACGAGCATTCAGTCTTGCATGGCCTTCTCGAGCTCCCCATTCTCGGCAGCCTGGCGCGGAGCCCACTAAAACCCCCAGGGGCAAGACAAGCTTGGGCATTTAGAAGGGTCGATAGTTGGGGTGTGAGGTAAGGCCGTCTTTTTGTTGCTTTGGCATCTACTCTTTGCTGGAGATCTTGTTACTCGTGTAAGGTATAAGAGACACAAAGCGCCCAACGAGGTCCAGCGATTTGAATTGACTTATATAGACCCTAGACCCGAAGCCCTAAACCTTAACTTACATCCTTTTTTGCTAAGCTCTATGCTCAAGGAAAAAGGGAATCTGCGCCCCTCCTCGGAGAGGAGCTGCGCAGCTCGCTCCCTGACGCTGGCGCCGCCAGCCTAGTGTCGGAGCTGAGGGCTTTAAACCCCGTGTTTAAGGCTCAGGGCTTAGGGGGTTTTGGGGTTTAAGGTTTATAGGTTTTTTTTGTGGGCCCTTGTCCGTCTGCTTTCGCTTCTGAAACCCCAAAAGTTGAGGGAGCCGGTGGTCCCGGGGTTCAGGGTTCAGGGTTTAGGCTTGAGGGCTCCAGCTTCAGGGTTTAGGGTTCAGGCAGGTCAGGTTGTTGAGGTCTCAAAGTAAGCTGATGCCTTGTTGGCTCCCGCATAGCTGTTCAAGGCTTTGGGTTACGAGTGCTGTAGGGCTTTAAAAAATGCTTGTATGAGGGTATACGGCAGTTGTTGGGGCTTGAACGGGGTATGTGAAGCAGAAGCAGTTTCATGGGCTTTTCATGCGGACCCTCTTTGCAGTATTTGATGTTTTACAGTACTTCCACCTACAAGGTCCCTGCACCGCTTGAAGAAGCGGAAGCTCCGAAACCCAAGCCGGCCTTCTTGGGGGAGTCGTCTCCCTTCTCCTGGCAGAGGAGAGCCCGAAACTCTCCGAGAAGCTCGGAAGTTCGATTCGGCTCTCGCAATACGCGACACAACAAGGGTTGAAATTTTTTCCCTCCTAGCAAGGACGGAGCCCGCATTCGGGTTTGGGCTTAGGGATTAAGGTTTGGTGTGCTTGGCGTGTTTAGGTCCGCACAAGCATGGGTCTTCGCCGAGACTCTTTTCAATAAAGATCCTCCGTTTTCAAGTTGTTGTCTGCGGGGATGAAACTCTTAGAGTGGCGAAACTGAAATCTTCCGGCGGAACTCCACAAAGCTGTCTGAAACCCCACCCCCCACCTTCTATCTCTACATTGCGAGAACACCTCAGCATTCTTTTCTCGTCCCTATACCTCTAAGTAGAATATGTTCAAGGCCCTGTTGACAATATTGAAGACCCAACCAACCCGACAAAACCCTCATACAAACCTAGAAACCCCAATTTACGTTTGATGAAGCCCCATAAACTCCCACGCAACCATCGCAACACCCTACCATTACCCTTTAGCGGGGAGCGTATGGTCCGAGCTCTCGCAAGCCAGTCGCCTCGCCTTGTTGACCTTCGACGCCTCCAGGCCGTAAGAGCTTGATTGAGGGGTTGACGGTCCAGGGTTTAAAAGTTTAAAAGTTCATTAAGGTATCTTTTCTCAGAGAACAATTTTTCCCCAACCCTTTTTTGCAGCAGGCCTCGTTGTCCAGCAGCCCGGTTACAGCAAAGAGCCCTAAATCCTAAACCTTAGGGTTCTCTTGGCTTTTGCCTCCCGCCTTGCTGGGAGGAGCCTGCCATGCGCAAAGGGGGATTGGAGGTTTAAGGTTTTGAGGTTCCCTTTGAAGGGCTTCAAAGGGGAAGCATGAGCTTCTATAATCCAAGGGTAGAAGGGGTGACCCTTAATAAGGACCCCTAGGTATATACCCTTAATATAGCTATTCTATACCCATTTTATAGCCCACTCTAGGGTAGGGGTCCCCATTGAGGGTCCCTCCTTTTCCCCTTTGATATAAGGATTACTGAGGGCATCGGTTCGTGATGGTGAACGTTGATCCAAGCGTCAATCCCTAAATGCTGGGACACAGCTCGGCAAGCCGTCGAATAAGCAATTTGCAAAGACTCGTTAACTGAACCTAAAACCCGTGAAAATCCTCAACATCCGTAACCCTCCTGAAACCATGCAGAAGAGAATGACTCAGCGATGAAACCTAAACCCAAACGAAACTCGAAGAGAACCCTTGTAAAAATCAACAAAAGACCCTAAAAAGACCTGAAATGCCCAAGCCCGGCCGAAAAAGCCATTGGTAAAGAAGTATACAAAACCCATCAGGATTCCCATACAACCCCAACCAAATCCCTGATTGAACAACAACAATAAAGGTGGAGTCCTGTTCTCCGAGAACCCTCTCGAGACGTCCCGTGTCCGCCGCCTACAGGGCGAGTTCAGGGTGCTTGGGGTTTCTAGGACGTTCTGGAAGGTTTCAGGTCTCTAGCCTGTTTAAGGGTTTGGGCTTTTGGATTTTTGCCTCCTACTTGGCAAGGACGGAGCTGCATCATTGCAAAGTCAAGTACGTAGTTCAGGTCGGAATAGCTGCATCGTTTGACGAAGTAAGGGGACGAGGAATGAGGCTTTATGCTTACTAATTTTTTTCGTCGAAGCCAGAAAAGAACCTTTCAGAGTTTCACGCTCTCACAACTCGGACAAGCCAGGCGAGGTGGGTTTAGGGCTATTCACAACTCGGACTGCGCCGGACGGACGAGGTCTCTCGGTTCAGAAATGCCTTGACTGGTCAGGCTACAAGCTGACAATCAGTTAGACATCACACGGAGAAGTTAATTGAAAAAACCCATTGTCAGCTGTATGCTGCTTTGACCATGTTGCGGATTTAAGGCTTAGCGTTTGCGGAGTCTTCGGATTTAGGGCTTCATTGACTTGTGACGACATTTCTTCTCGAACCCCTAAAAGCTCCCTTCCTCTCCGTGACGCTTCTGAGAGCCCCTGCCTCAGTCAGAAGCTTCGCCGCCTTCTGACGGACCGCCTCCTGAGACGCGGCCTTCTTGGAACGCTCCTTGCGGTTGAAGTTCAGAAAGTTGCGGTTCAACGTGCTGTGTACATTTCTGTTAAGGTGTCGGCTGTTTTCCTCCTGCTGGCTGACGTTTTGAGATCGTACACCCACATTTGGACCAGGGCTGCTACATCCAAAGATTGCCGATGCCAAGGGCTGCTACTGCCAAGGGCTGCTTCTGTTGCTGCTGCTCCTTCTAAACTCAAAGTATCAGGAAAAACGAAGCCTATCACACGAGTAGCTGCATTTACGGTGGCCTCCAGGCTGTGTTGTCCGCGGGAGCATTCTCGCGTGCGGCTAACTAACTCTCTCTCTCTCTCTCTCTCGCTCTCCCCCCCGCCCCGGACTCATCCACCAGTCACGATGCAGAAGATATGGAACACCCTTATACGTCAACAGAAAACTTTGAACAAAAACTCTTAAAAGCCCAACCCCGGCCCCACCTCCTCGAAACCCATTTGTTCATAGAACCCTGCAAGAGCTCTTCATCACAAACCTACAACACCCAAGAAGAATCCTATGAACCGTTGAGACAAACAAAACACGGTCGAAGTCCTGATCTTCGAGAACCTTCTCGAGACGTCCCGTGTCCGCGGCCTACAGGGCACGTTCGGGTGCTTGGGGTTGCTACGGTCTTCTAGGGGATTTCAGGTTTGGGCTTTGACGCTACACTTCCCGATTTTTGCTTCTGGAGGCTTCGTCTCTCAATCTCGCACACGGCAGGCAAAGGAGGGTTTTTGGTTTCGTGATTTTTTGGTTATTCTACATTTTGGTCTCCTACATAGCAAGGAGGGAGCCGCATCATTGCACAGTAGCTCAAGTCGGAATAGCTGCATCGTTTGACGAAGTAAGGAGACGAGGAATGAGCCTTGACGCTTGTCGAAACTGGAAAAGGTTTAGGGTTGACAGCGTTTTAGGGTTTAGGGCTCAATTGCTACGACAGCCCTTCTCGAACCCCTAAAAGCGCCCTTCCTCTCCGCAACGCTTCTGAGAGACCCTGCCTCAGTCAGAAGCTTCGCCGCTTTCTGACGGACCGCCTCCTGAGACGCGGCCTTCTTGGAACGCTCCTTGCCGGTTGAAGTTCAGAAAGTTGCGGTTCAACGTGCTGTGTACATTTCTGTTCAGGTGTCGGCTGTTTTCCTCCTGCTGGCTGACGTTTTGAGATCGTACACCCGCATTATCTGGAACAAGGTTTCAAGCACAGAGAGCCTTTGAGCAGCTTGCGAAGCAGTCGAGGCCATGGGCAGCGCTGCCAGACATACCCCAAATTCGATTACCACACTTCGACGACGAAGGCAACGACTACTCCCTGAACCCCAGACCCTAAACCCTAAACTACTCGTGGTTAGTTCGCTAAATTAAGACCCCTGTTTAGGTCCCAAAAATGGCACGGCGCCCTTGTAACAAGGATTCCCCAAAATCAAAAGGGCCCAACGTTTAGAGAACTACCCACGTGTACCGTTGCTGTACGAGGATGGCTCTCGGTTATGATTAGAGAACTACCCATGTGTATCGTTGCCATTCGGAGTACGAGGATGGCTCTCGGTTATGATTGACACAGGGGCCTGGTCTCCAAGCACCTTCTCCAGCAGCCCGGTGTCGGCGGCCTGAAACACTGTTGCCCAGGTTTCTGAAGCTTAAGCCCTACACCATGAACCCAAACGGGTTTAGGGTTGAGGGTATGAACAGTTTAGGGTATAGGGTTTATAAACAGTTTTGGGTTTTGGGTTTACCCCTAAACCCAAAAGCCCTCAACCCTCAACCCTTCGCCTTAACCCTGCTTCGCGAGCTGCCTAGCAGGAAAGCCGATACCTCCGAGCCCGAAGTCCCAACCCCCAAACCCTTAATATAGGGGGCCTTAATAATTAAAATAGGGCTTTGGCGCCCATTATACTCTCCCCTCTCTCTCTCTCTCTCTCTCTCTCTCTCTCTCTCTCTCTCTCTCTCTCGCGGACTCAGAGGTCTGTCATAACTATAATAAGGAACCCTCAAAATAGTATAGGAAATTATTTAGGCCCCTATATTACCCGTGAGGCTTGCAAGCTTCGGGCTTAATGCAATCAGCCCAGGGCTCGGGCGGAGTTGAGGAATACGGATGCCAAAGCAACTGCCGAGAGAGAGTTTTTTTAAAGTGAGAGAGAGAGAGAGTTGGGGGCCCCAGGGTTTTGCACTTTTTTTCCCTCCTACCTAGCAAGGACGAAGCCCGCATTGCAGGGTGTTGCGCAGGGGCCATGCTAATCTTCTCTGTATCGTTCCAATTTTATCGGATGATCCCCGAAGGAGGATTTAGGGTTTAGGGTCTTTTGTTGTTTATCGCTCCGTTTTACGGCTCAGGGGTTCAGCAAAAACTGTTCTTCTCTCTCTCCCTCTCTCCCTCTCTCCCTCTCTCCCTCTCTCTCTCTCTCTCTCTCTCTCTCTCTCTCTCTCTCTCTCTCTCTCTCTCTCTCTCTTGCCATCATCAAGTGTCTCGCAATGCAAGGGCACGAAAAATGCAGGCCAGAATATCAGGAAGCGTAGCACGAACGCTGAACCTCCTTCATCCTTCGGGCCTTTTTGCTGTTTTTGCATCCAGGACTCTGTTACAGACTGGAACATCTCCGTGCAATTTGCCGGCTGCCCGGTGCCCACAGCCCCAACTCCAGAAAGAGTACCTCACACACACACACACACACCCTTAGAAGCGTAGGCTGCATGAGTCCTGGACCCGAACCTAAAGCTAATGCAGCATCTGGACCCGCAACCCCCAACTTCCAAACCCCGAAACCCCTAAAGCCCTAAAGCCGAGGAGCCGCAGACTTCTGAGAGCCCCGCCTCAGAAAGAAGCTTCGCCGCCTTCTGACGAATCGACTCCTGCGATGCCTTCTTGGAACGCTCCTCACCCGACTCTTGGTATAGGATTTGAGAGTTTAGGCTCCTGGTTTACTAGTTGCTGTAGTGTGAGAGAGAGCTTTCCTCCTGCTGCTGGGCGAGGCTCGAAGCTTGGATTGGAAGGTTGGAAAGCCAACTAAAACCCCTAAACCTTTCATTAAAGCCTGAACACTAACCGCTCAGGCTTGAGGGTCCACTGCGTGTGCGACAGAGCTTAGCTGAAGGGGCCTATCGAAGCCGTCGAAGCCTGTGACGTCATCAAGTAATTGAGGCGTCTGGTATTACAGTACCTAACTCCTTTGTAGCCCCTTTACTTCTTTGTGATTAATGCCATTCTCATTTCTTCAAGCCCTGGGCCGTATGGGGCCGGCTTGAAGTGCTCCCCTGCGAGACATGTCCTGGTCTCCCAACACCTTCTCCAGCAGCCCGCTGTCGGCGGCCTCTTTTTCATTTTCACTAAAATCTAGCGCCAGACCGCCTGAACTCCGAACCCAGAGCTCAAAAGCCCCAAAAACCTACAAGAACTGAGGCCTGGCGCCTGATAAAAAGGATAGAAACCACCTAACAGCCCCCGATAACGACATGAAGCCCCACAACCCTGAAAAGCCTACACCGTTGTCGAAACCGGAGCAGAACCTGAAAGATAAAAATTCTCACACCCTGTGAATCCCTTGAACCCTATACGCCCATAACCCTTGGCCCCGAAGCCTCAAACTCCGCTGCAGAACCCTTCCAAGAACCCTCTGTTGAGCAACTTTGGGGTTTCGACTTTGCCAGCGCACCGGAGTGTCTGACCGGTGTTTGCAGCCACATGTCCAGAAAAAGGCAGCTGAAGCCCGGAAAACCCCGAAGACTTGGGAGTAGAAAAATTGACAATTTTTCTATTGTAGGAGTAGCAGTACATTCAAGACGGAAAGACCCGCAGAACCCTAAACGCTGAGAACAACAGTACAACGCAGACAACTGACTCCTCAAACCCAAATTTCTGAACCTTGTTTTGCATCCGGGTTCATTGCTGCTGGAAAGCGTGCAAATCGGCAGGATTGCACCATGACCAACACGCCACAGACTCAGAAAACCTGTCGACGTATCTTGTTGACCAAAGTTTCTCCCTGATAATCTTCACGAGAGATGATACCACCGTACTTCGACATGCGTTATTCACGCCTTCGTCTTTCCTGTCTTCCACACCCTGAAACCCTAAACCCGAACACCCTAACATCCTAAACCCCTCGCTGAGCCAATCTTTTTTCAACCCTCGAACCCCTAGCACCAATACCCTGAACCCTCAACCCTAGCACCATAAACCCTGAGCCCTTATACCCTACAGGCATTCTGCGATCCCCCGCCTCAGACAGAAGCTTCGCTGCCTTCTGTCGGAGCTCGTCCGGCAGCGCGGCCTTGTTTGGCCGCTCCTCACCGAGGTTGCAAAGAATAGTCTGGAACTCAGGTCTTAAGATTTTCGTCAGAGATTTTAGGGTTGCTTTTTGGCTGGAGTTGTGGGTTTGGGAGGTTTGGGAATTTAAGTTGCATTGGCTTTGCAAGGGCTTGCTGAAACGAACTTGGGGACTTCGCATGCATGGGGCTTGATTTGGCCGTAGGGAATTTCAGGAAATGCCTAAATCCAAAACCCGAACCCTCAATGCCAGACCTAGCCGACCAGGTCACACTGACGCGGACAGGGCCTGCAGCTTGGCCCAGAGGCAAGTCCCCATAGTAGGCATCGGTTAGCCAAGGCGCGGGGTCTTGCACAAGTCCGGTCGGCCCTTTCTTGTAACAGACAGTACTCCAATGTCTAGAGAGAGCTGCAGCTCTGCGTGCCGCAATACAGACGCACAAAACAATACAAAATGTGAAACGATCCGACTACGCTCCAAGCCCCACTGTTATATTAAATATTCCTACACCTACTATCTCTTGCTACGGTTTTTGACAGCAGGGCATTTAGGCATATTCAAGCATATTCACTCTTAGTGTAGGCTCCTTGTCATTCAGGATCTTCTCCAAGAGCCCGGTATCAGCAGCCTGGTACAACTGATGCAAAGCAGCGGCGATGCTTTACAAAGCTCCTTCACGGGTTCCTTCAACGATTCCTACTGGTTTGGTTAAATGTCGGCTTGATGCGTCAGTGCCCTACGAGTCCGCCAGCACGCCTAGACCTTCAACAATCAAGTGGCAGGTTAGGAACAGATGTATAGTACAGGACTGGCGCCAGCCTCAAGCCATCGCCACTTCAAGCGCAAAGATGCAACAAGAATCTGAAGATGTTCTGCACTAACGCGAAAGAGCTCCTCAACCCTAGACCCTTCTGCATCCAAGCCTATTTCGACTGGCGGATGCCCTGAAGAAAAGTAAATGGAGGCCAGGCAAATCTGCAGCACTACCGGCTGCAACACTCAGCCAAACACAGGACGTAGTGACAGAATGCCTTGCATGCGACCACTCTCAAAAGTATCATACATAAGAACTATTCGAAAGTCTGAAAGGACACGTGTTTGCAGAGCATGCCAATCCGTGAGATCGTCCTCAGCTAGCAGACTCTCATATAGTTCCCAGGTGAGTACTCCATGCTCCTCATCAATCCATGATAAAGCAGATGTGCTGTCAGCAGTCCCACACAGAGCACCGGCAAAGAGCCAGGGCATATCATTTGCTGCAACGAACTATGAGCTATCATTCCAGCGAAACCCTGAGCCCTAACACCCTAAACCCCTCGCTGAGCCAATCTTTTTTCAACCCTCGAACCCCTAGCACCAATACCCTGAACCCTCAACCCTAGCACCATAAACCCTGAGCCCTTATACCCTACAGGCATTCTGCGATCCCCCGCCTCAGACAGAAGCTTTGCTGCCTTCTGTCGGAGCTCGTCCGGCAGCGCGGCCTTGTTTGGCCGCTCCTCACCGAGGTTGCAAAGAATAGTCTGGAACTCAGGTCTTAAGATTTTCGTCAGAGATTTTAGGGTTGCTTTTTGGCTGGAGTTGTGGGTTTGGGAGGTTTGGGAATTTAAGTTGCATTGGCTTTGCAAGGGCTTGCTGAAACGAATTTGGGGACTTCGCATGCATCGAGCTTGATTTGGCCGTAGGGAATTTCAGGAAATGCCTAAATCCAAAACCCGAACCCTCAATGCCAGACCTAGCCGACCAGGTCACACTGACGCGGACAGGGCCTACAGCTTGGCCCAGAGGCAAGTCCCCATAGTAGGCATCGGTTAGCCAAGGCGCGGGGTCTTGCACAAGTCCGGTCGGCCCTTTCTTGTAACAGACAGTACTCCAATGTCTAGAGAGAGCTGCAGCTCTGCGTGCCGCAATACAGACGCACAAAACAATACAAAATGTGAAACGATCCGACTACGCTCCAAGCCCCACTGTTATATTAAATATTCCTACACCTACTATCTCTTGCTACGGTTTTTGACAGCAGGGCATTTAGGCATATTCAAGCATATTCACTCTTAGTGTAGGCTCCTTGTCATTCAGGATCTTCTCCAAGAGCCCGGTATCAGCAGCCTGGTACAACTGATGCAAAGCAGCGGCGATGCTTTACAAAGCTCCTTCACGGGTTCCTTCAACGATTCCTACTGGTTTGGTTAAATGTCGGCTTGATGCGTCAGTGCCCTACGAGTCCGCCAGCGAGCCCAGACCTTCAACAATCAAGTGGCAGGGTAGGAAAAGATGTATAGTACAGGACTGGTGCCATCCTCAAGCTATCACCACTTCAAGCGCAAAGATGCAACAAGAAACTGAAGATGCTGTGCACTAACGCGAAAGAGCTCCTGAACCCTTGACCCTTTTACATCCAAGCCTGTTTCGACTGGCGGATACCCCTGAAGAAAAGTAAACGGGGGCCATGCAAATCTGCAGTACTACCGGCTGCAACACTCAGCCAAACACAAGACGTTAGTGACATAATGCCTTGCATGCGACCACTCTCAAAAGTATCGTACATAAGAACTATTCGAAAGTCTGAAATGAAAGGACACGTGTTTGCAGAGCATGCCAATCCGTGAGATCGTCCTCAGCTAGCAGACTCTCATGTCGTTCCCAGGTGAGTACTCCATGCTCCTCATCAACCCATGATAAAGCAGACGTGCTGTCAGCAGTCACACACAGAGCACCGGCAAAGAGCCAGGGCAGTTGCTGCCACGAGCTATGAGCTATCATTCCAGTGAGGCCATGTGTGACGGTGAGCTATCGGATCAGATTCAGACTCAGCCATACAGCTAAAGAGCTGTTCTCCCTTGGCCCTCCACACATCACGACGGGCAGCACAAGCAATACGCGACTCCTCGCTCATATCAGTCTGAGCGTAAGCGGCACAAGCTGTCTGCCGTAACCATTTTAAGTGTTCGGATAGCCCCCTTGAGGACGAGTCTTACGACCGAAAAGCAAAAGGATACGACGTGTTGCATGTTCATGGGGCTTCGGTAAAAGATGCCCTGCACATCCCCAACAACGAAGTCGCCATATGGTAGCCCAAGATGCATGTTCTTTGGATGACAAGAATATGGACACTGCTCGTCGACGCAGACGCTGAAGACTGAGTGCTGCATCGTGATTGGAAGAATCAGGAATGAACAGCTGCATGATCGTGACGAGGATGGTGACTTGCAAAACACCCTGAAACCCCGAACCGAAATATGCAACCCCAATGTAGACTTCTAGAGCCAGTTATAGCATCCCTTTTTGCCAAACCCTAACCCTAGGAAACAGTAAACCCTTGCAGTAGCCCAACCTCGGAAAGCAGCTTCGCTGCCTTCTGACGGAGCTCCCACTTCGGGTCCTCAACAAGGGATGGGTTTCGTGTTTAAGGCCTGGTTAGGGCTAAGGCCTTCGGCTTGCCAAAGCGACTTCATGCCTCCCGTCGCAAGTCGGGGCACTTGCCTTACTCAGTCGTTTTCCGCACGGACAGGGCACGAGAAGCCCTATCTCACGAAAATGCGGGGGGGGGGGGGGGGGGGCAGCAGGGTAAGCCATGCTTTGCAGCTAAACCCTGAACCCGCTCTGCTCCTGGACATCATTGGTCTTCACGTCCTGAAGGATCTTCTCGAGAGCGCCATTGTCTGCGGCCTGCGGGCGAGGGACCGCAAGCTTAGTCGTGGGAGTTTCGGGCAAGGCGGCTTATGGTTGAGGGCTGAGGGTTCAAGGCTATGGGGATGCGGTTCCAAGTTCATGATTCAGCGTTGGGTGCTTGGGTCTTGGTTACGCTCTCACAACTCGGACTGGCCAGGCGAGGGGGTCTCTGTGTGTAGGTCGGGGTGAAGTTGATCTCTCGTGTCACCGCTTGATTAGGTCTTGGTCAACGGTTTGGGTTTGGGTTTGCGGCTTCAGGTTGCAGCTGGCCCCGAAATCTCCTAAGACCCTTCTATTGCTTTGTTATAATTTATAAAAGCAACAACAATAACAATCAGAACAAAATAACAATAAGAATGACGACAACAATAGCAATAACAATAACAATATTAGTGCTACAATCGCCGGGGGCACCTCGGTAAGAAGGCCAGCGACCTTGTTCCTCACTTCGTCAAACATCTCCTGCTGCGCTGCAAGGTGGCATTGAGAGGTTTACGGTTTTAGGGTATCAAGGTCAGAGTTTACGAACTGGGCTGTAGGGCTTGATGCTTGAGGGCTCGGTGTACAGAGTCGTGAGCTTCAGGCCTTGGCTTTACTGCACAGGTTTCGATGGGAACGCTTCCAAAGGAGCTCTCCTTCTTCACCTCCGTCAGAATCTGCTCTAGCCCACCAGAATCGGCGGCCTCCATCGGATTTGGATGCAGGGGGTTTATGGCTACTAACCGGCAATATACGTGCCTCAGCAATTGCTAGAATTAGTTCCTAGGGTCCTAGAGTTCCTGATTATCACGATAGTACAAAATATCCCCTGTTCTCCCTTTTGATCCTAGACCTTGAACCCTGAACCGTGAAGGCCTTAACCCTTCTTACAAACCCTAAACCGCGATCCCTATACCGTTGTATGCCCCCGAACCGCACATCCGGTACTTCTAGGCCTTCATCCCGAAGAAACCCTGATGCTTTGAACCCAAACGGAACCGCTACAAGTTGTGCACGCGGCTGCTTTCCCGAAAGCCGAAACAAGTCAGCGTGGCTGAGCAGAGCTAAAAACAGGCCTCTGCTCCAAATCAACGACAGCCCTCAAAGTTTAGTTCGTAAGCCCTAACCCCCGAAAACCCTAAACGGGATAAGCCCCTATGAACCCCAAATGCCACAAAACCCTAAAACCCTTTTGCATCCAGGAAACCCTAAACACCAAAACCGTACAAAGCAAAAGAAAAAATTGTCGTCTGACCTGAGCCAGGAGCTCCGCCGTGCGCCGCCGCAGGGCTGCCAACTCCTGGATCGGTTTAACGGGGCTTCAACAAGGGAGTCTTTAAAGGTTTCGGGGGCTAGGTTTTAAGGCTTTGTGGTGGCAGGGTTTAAGACTTAAGAGTTCTGAGTTTACGAGTTTAGGGCTGAAGGTTTAGGGGTTTTGAGTTTGGGGTCCTCTAGCGTTCGAGAGGAAGCTTGCAAGGGGCTTCTACTGGGTTTCTACAAGGCTATCAAGGCTCTTTAAGGATTCCGTTCCTTGCCCACTACATGGGTTCTACAAAGAATTCCACAGTACAAGTGCGAAGGCGTTGTAGGCTCCTTCTAACTTATACCGATACAAAAACCATTGGAAAGCCCTTTTGAGGTGCGAAAGCCATGAACAGTTACAGCATGATTGAGGATGTTCGTGCAGACTCGCCACACGGACACCGTAAGCCTCAACTCTAAATGCCCCACTCCTAACTCCACAAACCCCTAAACCCAACAAAGCTCAATTCCCAGTTGGGGGTTTCGGCGCTCACACTTGGACAAGCCAGGCGAGGTTATTGAGTCGGTTGGGGTGAGACTTAGGTTTGGAAAATCTTGACTCCTTCGGCTCAAGTTGGTTTCAGGCACGTCTTTCTAATTTCGACACTCGCAGATCGCGCACAAGGCAGGCAAGCCTTCACAGGTTCAGGTTTCAGGGGTTGCGGCCCCAAAACTCAACTCCTCAGGAAAGAAGCCCAACTCCCCAGCCCTGGGGCTGAAAGCTCCTTGAAGGTTTGGGGGTAAGGAAACGACAGGCGAAGACTTCAGGCTTGTGCATCTCTCGAAGTCTCTGGGACCGTATACCCAAAAAAGCGAGCAAGCTAAAGCTAATCCCAAAATCCCGGCACCTTAAATACTCTGAAACTCAGGGCCCGCTTTGCTAAACCTCCGAAATCTTCCAGACAAGGAAGGAGAGCAGGGTCTCTCACAATACGATGGCGGACAGAGCCGCAAGGCAGACCCGAATCTAATACCAGGGTTACTAATTGCGAGGGTCTTTTCATAGGCCTTACTTTAAGGATGTCCATGCAGATTGATCGGAAAAGTTACTAGGAAGTAAGTGTTTGCGTGCTGGGACACTTAGCCGAAATTTTCGTTCTCTTTGAAACAAATTTTGCCCCCATAGCGAAGCACCCTCCAAATACTCTTGCAAGATCATGTCCCAAGATGCTACGAAAAGACATCCACACCAAGAGCGCGAACACAAGTTGCAGCAGCATGTTGTTGTTGCTTATTGCTGGTGTGACTCGTATTAACACGAATACTACTACTACTACTACTACCACTACTACCACTACTACCACTACTACTACTACTACTACTACTACTACTACTACTACTACTAGTACTAGTACTAGTACTAGTACTAGTACTAGTACTAGTACTAGTACTAGTACTAGTACTAGTACTAGTACTAGTACTAGTACTAGTTCTAGTACAACTACAACTACAACTACTACAACTATTACTACTACTACTACTACTACTACTACTACTACTACTACTACTACTACTACTACTACTACTACTACTACTACTACTATTCTACTGCTACTACTACTACCCTATCCCCCCCTGGTGCGACGCCGGTCGCAGAGTTCGTGGATGCACAACATGTTTCCAAGTGCATGTGTATATTCAATATTATATACATATCTATGTATTGTTTGTAGTTATACACGTAGAAAACCATATATATATATATATATATATATATATATATGTATATATATGTATATATGTATATATATATACGGATATCAAACATATCAACATGTACACGCACATACATACATACATACATACGTACATATATATATATATATATATATGCTACACCCCCCCCCCCCAGGACCTACCTCGAAGCCTTCTGTGACCTTACCCTGAACACATCAAAACTCCAATATACATGTTAAGTATTGCCTAGCACTCCTTTATCTACAACAGCTTACAAAGACATAAACCCGTTAAAACCAGAATAATCATGTTAAGTATTGCCTAACACCCCTTGTCTACAACGATCTATAGCGATATAAACCCATTAAAACCAAAATAATCATGTTAAGTATTGTCCAACACCTCTTCACTACAACTACATAAACCCCACAACACCAGTTAAAACCAGAATAATCATGTTAAGTATTGCCTAACACCCCTTGTCTACAACGATCTATAGCGATATGAACCCATTAAAACCAAAATAATCATGTTAAGTATTGTCCAACACCTTTTCACTACAACTACATAAACCCCACAACACCAGTTAAAACCAAAATAATCATGTTAAGTATTGTCCAACACCTCTTCACTACAACTACATAAACCCCACAACACCAGTTAAAACCAGAATAATCATGTTAAGTATTGCCTAACACCCCTTCTCTACAACGACATAAGCCCTACAACATTAGAATAATCATGCTAAGTATTGCCTAAGCCTTCTTGGCTACAAAGAAATAGAACCCGTAACTCCGGATAGTCGTACTAAGTATCTCCAAACGTCTAGACTTAAAACGAAAAGAAAACTGAAATATGTCTGTGTTGCGACCAGCCAAGGCACCTGGAATGAGAGGGAGCTTGTGTTATACATACTACATACTGCAAGGATGACACGCACAAATCAATTAGGAAAACACCTGTGCATACCGCTTTTCCTCCTAACAACATCGTCACGTGTGAAACATCCTTCAGTGCTTTGTCAGCACTAGACGTACTTCGTCATGCTCTGCATGATACGGACACATCTTCCATATCTCGTTGAGGCTATAAACATCCAAAGTAGCAGGACTGCCACTTTGGCACTCATTGCATTCGCCTTTACACGTCCGATTCCACCCAGTCTTGCTTTCCAAGTGTTCCACCTGGATAACTGCTTTGGGATCTAGATATGTATGGAAAAGCATGGCAAGTATTGTGGTTGCCGCGACGCTCCGGTGCTTGCCTGCTCTACATTTACAAAGCACGTCGATTTCACGTCGTGACCAGGCCAAGGTAATGACCCGTGCCATCAGGCACCGAAGTTTACTTAGCGACAGTAAACGATTCACTATTCGTGGGTTCCAGCCTATGTGAGACAACGTAGTCGGGTCCTTTCCTGGATCGGCAAATTTTTTCAGATCCAGGATGACTACAGCTGCCGAAGCAGAAAGATTTCTACCCTCATTCCCGCTATACAGTTGAACTACCATCAAAGGCGGAAAGGCTGGTTCCTTCACGCTGTGACTTCCTGAGGTAGAAGGCGGAAAGGCTGGTTCCTCCACTCTGGGACTTCTTGAAGTAGAAGGCGGAAAGGCTGGTTCCTTCACTCTGGGACTTCTTGTGCGCTCACGTTCTGAGGTAGAAGGCGGAAAAGCTGGTTCCTTCACTTTGGGACTTATAGCTGAGGTAGTACAAGCAGGAGAGGTCAATGGATGATCTTGCTTCCCAGGATCATCTTCAGCCCGACATACTGGAAGTGCTTTAGCGGGTACTGCGGCTTTGTGTTGTAGGTAAAGATCCGGCGGTAGAACATGCTTCCCAGGATCATCTTCAGCCCGACGTACTGGAAGTGCTTTAGCGGGTACTGCGGCTTTGTGTTGTAGGTTAAGATCCGGCGGTAGAACTGCAGCAGTACTTGGAACACTCCCTCTTCGTGGTGGTGGTGCTACAACTCCGTGTCTTCGAGCAACTTTCTCTGGCGGTGGTACTATGACACCTCGTAAAGGTGTCGCCGTTCTCTGCAAGCCTTGTGCTTTTGCTGGTGGTGGTGGTACTGGTAGCGGGGGCGTGGGTCGTGGTGGTGGCTGTAGTGTCGCTGGCGTGGGTGGTAGTGGTGGTGGTGGTGGTGGTGGTGGTGGTGGTGGTGGTGGTGGTGGTGGTGGTGGTGGTGGTGGTGGTGGTGGTGGTGGTGGTGGTGTTGGTGGTGGTAGCGGGGGCGTGGGTGGTGGTGTCGGCTCTCCTAAAGGTTGAGGACCAAGTAGCTGTAATAGAGTTTCACTCCGAAGGCGTCCCACAAGAAGAGGTTTCACACGAGGAGGGTGGCGCAGTGTTGACAACGCCATTGCGGACACAACTTACAAAACTTCAGGCTCCTACATACCGGCTGTTGAAACAGGAAGAGTTCTCAAAACTATAAGCTCCTCCTACAAACTGCAAAGTGTGTAGTTTAGGGTTTAGGGTTTAGGGACGGTATGCGCAGGTGTTTGAGCCGAACTTGCAGGCAAGTGGAAGTCTGCCGCTCATGATGCCGATGACGATGCGGGAGCACACCCTTTGCACCTGCGCGGTACTCGTGGCGTTTATGGTTTCGGATTTGAGTATCATCTCTATGCGATTATGTACCCCCCCCGTGGGCTATGTGTATACATGCCTTTCTGTGCATATGCATGTTGCTGTATCATATAACAATGTGGAATACAACTTAACAGTGTGATGTATGTTCATATTGCATGTATGTATATGCTGATTGTATTATCATAAGGTAGACGGAAACTGAATATGACGATATGATCACTATTTCATATATACGATATGTACAAGATCACTTGATTTTGATTAGCTGCAGGCCCAGCCCGTTCCATTTATGTTAGCATACCCATATGATTTATGTTAGCAATATATTTATCTGCATCTTTATCTTTCGTATGTTTCAGTTTTCGCGCATACTGTCATAAAATGACAATATAAGAAAATCAAACACGATGATTTATTCTCGGTAGCATACGAATATACGATATGTTTAGCTATATCATCTTATTTAGTTTCTCTCACATTATCACAATATGATAATGTAAGATGAAACTAAACACGATGTTTACAATATGTTTAGCTATATCATCTTATTTAGTTTCTCTCACATTATCACAACATGATAATGTGAGAGGAAATAAACACGATGTGATATGGGTTGATGTAGTGACTGCCTCCATAGCGTGCAGACGTAGGAACTCTTTTCCATCGCATCCTCGTGTCCGTACACACATTCGTCAGAGCGAATGTGCCGCGCAGATGTCGCTAAGA